CATCCGGTCACATGGGTGGCAAGCCACTCCCATCCGGTCACATGGGTGGCAAGCTACTCCCATCCGGTTACATGGGCAGCAAGCCACTCCCACAAAGGAGGCCACACCCACAGAGTAGGTTCGAACAATTTTTGAAACCCACCACTGTGTGGGAGACATCTTTAAAAATCATCAGGTTGGTATGCCGGACAGTTGGCCTTGGCGCCAACACCTCTATCTTCAGCATGCACAGTAGATGCTGAGAACAACTCCCTTTTTACAATCACTCCTGCACTGAACAATCCCCCCACTCAAATACCATGCCCCCACTCCCCGTTTCAATGGCAGCCGAAAGCAAGCAGCAAACCAGAGGCTGACATTGGCGGCCACACAAAGAGTGGCGGGCCCAGAGACACTAGGGGTGGCAAAAGTGTGCCAGAAACAGAGACAGAACCTCCGTCCCTCTCTCGATCAGCTGATCCATGGGCCGCATGCTGAGCACCTGCCCCTCAAAAATAATAAGACCTCCCTGAAAATAAGGCCAAGTGCTTATTTCGGGGGTCAAAAGTAAATAAGACTGCCAGGCGGGCCTCCATCAATAACCAAGGAAGAAAACTCCCAACTCCATTGTTTGTGGAATTTAAGATACTTTTACTGGGTTATGAAAAGATAGCAGCGAAAGGAAAGCAAGATCTGAGTCAAAAAGGCGCGAACAAGAGCATATGAAACGATTACCCAGCACCCTCCCCCCTCCAGTTACCCCAACCCAATGTCCAATCTTCAAAAAGCCTCATCAAGTTGGTATGCGAGACGGTTGGCCTTGACCAAGTCCAAGCACAGGCCGCCAGCGTGCGCAGAAGATGGTGAGAACAAAACTCCCTTCTACATAACTCCTCCAGTACCATACGATTCCCTTTCCAAATACCATAAGCCCCAACCCTCTCTGTTTCTATGGCGCCGATAGCAAGCAAGCGAAATAGAGGCTGACAAAGACCCTGTCTTATTTTTGGGGAAACATGTTAGTTGGGCCCAGGGTGGGTTCCCGATTCTTCTACTGCCGGTTCACCCAGGGATGGGCTTCAGGTGCATGCGTGCTTGATGCATAATACGTGCGCAAGCACAGTAGGTAAAAAAATGTTTCTGCGCATGCAGGAAACAAGATGGCGGTGCCTACCGCGCCGCCGATAGAACCAGTTTGGGGATGTGGATGGCTGAGTTACTACCTATTCATCCAAACTGGTAGGAACCCATCTCTGCAGGCCACCTTCTTCAGCTGGGCAGTTTGGCTTGGTCTTGGCGTGGGGCAGGGATGGGTTCTATAGAAGAGGTTCCACAAATCTACAGTGCCGTTTAGAACCGGTACCAGCTCCCTCCCCNCTGGATTGAGTGCCAACTTGTTTACTTCCATCCAGACCCTAACAGCCTCCAGGCTGGCACATCACTTCCACTGCTTCGCTGAGTTGGCACGGGGCAGACAGATACAGCTGTGTATCGTCCACATATTGGTGGTACTTAATCCCATGCGTATGATCTCACCCAGCGGCTTCATGTAGATGTTAAATAGGAGGGGGGACAGGACCAAACCCTGGGGCACCCCGTAATTGAGGGGCCTTGGGGTCGACCTCTGTCCTCCAACCAACACCGACTGCGACCTGTCCGAGAGGTGGGAGGAGAACCACCGAAGGACGGTGCCACCGAAGAACCACCTCTCGCAACCGTCGCAGAATTGATGAGCCATCATACCTCCTAACCATACATTTAATTTAATAATAGGCTGAGAAGTAATTTTTAATGTTTTTTTTCCAAATGTTTTGTCAGAACAGTGAAAAATGACGTTAAAGAACTGGGGGCCTTCATATTAATGGTAGTCAAATTTTGGGCATATCAGTCTTTTGTTTTAGCAAATGATCAGTGGAATTTGGTTTGAATTTGTATTAAGTGACTCTTTTTCCAATTTTGCATGGCATTAAATCTTAAAAATATTCTCTTAACCTTGAATCTGCAAATGCTTTTTTGGTTAGAGCAAAGTTCCTCAACCGTTTTAAATATTATTGGTGAGCATATAAGGAGCCTT